TTTGAAGTTTTAAGAGATACTCAAGAGCGAGGCCGTGAATTGGACACTGTGCTAGCAACGTACACCAATTATGTAAAACCTGCATTTGAAGACTTCTGTCTTCCTGTAAGTACAATGTGCATTAGAATGACAAAAACGAGTCCGAGGAAGGATAACATCGTAAAATCCAAATTTTGGATTTTACGATGTTATCCTTCCTCGGACTCGTTTTTGTCATTCTATATGTCAAACTGTCAGATCGTAATGAATGTGCATTAGGTTGAGCAATATTAGTTGCAGATCCAGGGGGGTTCATTGGGTACTTTGACCTTTTTTCAGTTTAATGTGCTTTTTTTCAGACAAAAAAGTATGCTGATGTAATTATACCTCGAGGGTCAGACAACACAGGTACATTTGTGCATTTGAAGTTGCAAACTAAAGCACTTTATCTTACTACAGAAATAAAATCTGAAAAAAGCRCGGGAAATCTGAAAATTTGGACGCGCGCGTCACAGCGCAGCGTCGCCATTTCTCGAGCAATGCATAACGGTATACTAAATACATTTAGTATAAACATACTAATGGTCTATCACTCATACTGCGCTGTGATTGGCTACTCTACTAATGGTCTAATTTGTGATAGACCACTCGCGGGAAAATCAATCTCATTAATAAATTATTTTAAGGATATTTCAATTTGTTCTCATTATTTGACCGATTAGTATGTTTATACTAAAACAATTAGACCTCTCGGCCTCGTGGACTACAAGCTAATAGCCCATTCGGCCTCACGGACTCGGCGTCATGGGCTATTAGCTCGTAGTCCACTCGACCTCGAGGTCTAATTGTTAAATATGGCCCTCATGATTTTTCATATTCAATAAAATGTTCCACAAAATCTTTTTTCACGTTTTCTGTGTAAGATGAAAGAAATTTTGCCGTATGGCTGTAAAATTACTCTAAGACAGATTTGCAGGATTGTTGAAGTGAGCACAACACATTACGAGGACTAAATTTACCCATCATGCTTAGTTTCTCAAAATGGCGTCRTCTCACTTTGTTGGYTAAATAATTGTCCTGTTCAATATCTAATATGTTGTCTTTGCTCTCACTAGTGGCCATCAATCTAATCGTCCAGCACATCAAAGATATTTTATCAGGAAGCAAAAAGATTCGAAAGCTGTCWGAATCGCCTTCGAGGAGGCAAAGAACAACGTCAGAATCAAGTGGTATGCTGTCGTCTCGTCCRCATTGAATGGTCTACTAATAGATTATTATAGMATAACCTTTCTTATACGGGCAGTCGTTATAGAGAGGTTTTGATATAATTGCACGAAWTCAGTTGTCCTCCGGGACWKGAGTCAARTYTGAAACATTCAGTGTGAAAATTTGATATTACTTGAATGGTCTACGTGTAACAGTAGCTTTTTATGGAATAGCCTTTGCTTATACGGGCAGTCGTTTTAAAGAGATTTTGATATAATTTATTCAAAATTGCCCAAAATTGCACTTCTCTGGGAATCAAATCAAGTCTGATAKATTCAGTCTGAATACGGCATTAATCGGGCTCCGTTTGCTTGAAACGTTTTTGTACATATGCGCACAACGGAACATTTTTATTATGTAACATTCATTCAAAAGGTTTTATAGAAGGGCTGTTATAAAGTCTTTCAAGCTTTTTATAATACTAACATCGCAAAATTTCAATCGAACAGCATTGTAAATATTGATACAGATGTATCTCTTATGAGCAGGAAATTGCGGTCTTGATCATAATCAGCTGCTTTTCCTATTTGTATATACATGCACTGATTCATAAAACGCACATATCTTAATATAATGAGTCTTGACACAAGGTTTTTCATCTTTTTGGAGTGGGGAAGGGGGCGTGGGAAGGGGTGGAGGGGACTATGAAGTACATATCTTATTTTCCGGACGGACCAGAGGTGCGCGCATCTTTCATGATCTGCTGAAATGATAGACAAGGACAGTGAGTTATAGAACTGCTTTTTCCATACAACGTTTGCTAGAATATACTACAAAAGCAAATTTATCGGGAAAATGTTGTTGTTGGAAAATTTTGCCAGTGTAAACATTGGAAAGCTGAAACTAGTCGTACCCAGTCGTTACTCTTCTTTCCGCTACGCTCGAAGGGGTTGATGGGAACGAGAGGTACATTGCGCGCTAYGAAAGCGAGAGWAGCAACTGGGTACGATTCTATGGAAGGGCTGTCGTGCCTTCATTGAAGTCTCTGTTCCGTTACAGGCACAGAAGAAGACAGTCTTGTTATCTGCATAGCGCACAATGGCGGAACAAACGCTCATTTGCCCCAAGGATAGATACACATCTGTAATACACAATGTCTTTTATACAGCGAACAGCATCTATTGAATGTAGTCTTTTGACAAAGTGTCCTTACTCGGTCTTCTCGCGTGAGTACGCGAAAAAATCCCCTACTCTCCCCTCCCAAAGGAATACAAATAAAAATTTCAGT